TGTCGCTTCAAGATACATCCCCCAAATACCCCAAAACTGACGCAAAGTTTCGTGAAAAAGTTGACAGATTGGGTGTAAGGGTCATCAAGAAGGGGAAAAGACTATGATTGGGCACAAGTTGGGGTATCTTCTCCTTCCCGGAAACTCCCATTTAACGGATGATCTCTTTTACTGACAAAGTGTGTCCTAAAGGACAAATCTGTCTCATCCCTTCATGAGAACTGATCCCCTTTCTTATACAGACAAAATGTTTATTGGGTAATGCGCAGATGTGCACGTGAATCTTTCGTTACTACCGAAGACTAATGCATTGTACTAAAGTACCAAGAGCTAGAACTAAAGTATCAAAGGCTCGAAAATGGCAATATGCTACTTCTAGCACACTCATTTCTCTATTACTTAAAGAAACATCGGGGTTTTTTTTACTTAACCAGCTACTGTGATAAATTTGGCCTTACTGCAACAGTGAATTACTAGGGAAAGGCACGAATACGAGGTGAGCTTTTGTCTGGACACTTAATGCACTTTAGAAAATCGGGTATGAGGAATGATGCTTTAAAAGACTAGCGAAGAAAAGTTACGTTGGTGTTTTAGTGGATAACGGATTAGACTTTAGTTTAATCATTTATGATAAAGAACGATAGGCCTATTGATTTAGTTAAATTTAAACCATTTGAACTTATTCTTTTCTCTAGAGCTTTTTTCTAGAGGTTTCTGGCTTTCGGTAACAGGATCAGGCTTTGGTGCCTGGGCTTTGTTCCGCAGCTTTGTTCCGTTTTTTTGGAGCAACTTCTAGCATTTTGCAGTTAATTGCGGTTAGTTAGACTTGTAGTTAGACCATGGTTAGTAGTTAGTTAGACTTGTAGTTAGACAGTGGTTAGTAGTTAGTTAGACTTGTAGTTAGACATGGTTGTTTAGTTCTTGTAGTTAGACATGGTTATATTTTCTTGTGTTAGACAGTGGTTAGTAGTTAGTTAGACTTGTAGTTAGACCCTAGTAGTTAGATTATTGCAGTGATGCAAAAGTTTTGTCAAAGATCTGAATTGACACTGACACTGAATTGATTAATTTTAAGCTGATTAACTAACTAATAACAGTAGTAACAAGTAAGTTGGGGAAAATTGTAACATGTAACATGGATGAGCTGTCACATGTAACAAAAACAGTAACATGAATGAGCCAAGCCTAAAATTTCCAGCTTTCAGTTCAAGCCAGAACTTTCAGTTCAAGCCAGGCAATCAGATCAGGTTGGATGAAACAAATGAGATCAGCCTTGGGTTGGGCCAGAACCAAGAACCAGGCTGTGCCCTTCCTGCTCAAAAATCAGGACCAGACAAGACCAGGACCAGTCTCCATCTCAGAGTTCCATCCTAGCTCCGGATCCCTAGCTTCTACATAAAATTCAGCCAATCCACAGCTTCGTTCACGTGAAAATCCTCATTGATACCCTAAAACTTCTTTGATATTTCAAGTATTTCCAGTAGCACTTCCTCTTTGCAAGCTCTTGCACCTGTTTACAGGAAATTGGAATGCGATATTTTGGGAGTAATGGCTGAAAATGACGGGAAATTTGTCAGAATCTATTATGGAAACAAGGAAGAGTTTGAAGAGGAGTTTTTTTGGAAAGGAATGCAAAAGTTGACCGATCACTGATCGTACCAGTAATCACTGAAATAGAAATTTTAGCTTGGAAAAGCTATAAAAAGATTGGGGTTGTTTCTGAAAGGAAAAGTAGAGTTCCAATTTCTAGAAGTTTGCTTTAAAGAAAACTAACTCGTCATGGTGCTTTGTGCTCCAAAATTGTAAGCACATCCTTTCTGGGATAGTCAAGTCTCTTGTTTTCTCTCAACATCGTATTGTTTCTTTAGAAAACAAAGAGTTGAGCCCGCTAGAAACAGTACGTTTAGAACTTGAACTTGAACTTGAACACAAAGTACACAAAGTAGACGTCCAATAACCTTCTAATCACTTAAACTTGCTTTTCAAAGCAAAGTAAAGCCATGACGGTAACCTTTCTTTCTTTCTTTCTTACTTTCTTTCTTTCTTTCTTCCTTTCTTTCCTCTTCCCCTTTCCCTCTTTCTCTTGACAAGTTAAGGTACCAAATAGTCTAGTGGTTAGAGCAATAACCCGGATTGCATGGATTTTTATGAAACCTTATCTTATCTAACACTCAATTACTTTAAATTTTAGCTTAAATTGTAATCTAGATACTACTTTGTAAACTCGAAGTCTTTCAAATCCCTTTCAAACCCTCACCACTTGTTCTCACCAAAGCATCACCAAAAATTACACGGAAATCATCAATCATCAGCACTAATTTACGATTATTGTCCCTCCGCTTATTGCCTTTGGCAGCACATAAAGTTAAGTCTATCTCTAGGGCAAGTGGTGTGTCTGTTGTGAAAGAAAAGAAAGAAAAGAAAAAAAAAGAAAAGACCAGATGTTTGTTGCGTGATCATTCAAAGGGGAAAGGTACTCTCCTTCAACAATGAATGGCCTCAATCTTCTTTTGACTCTTCAATTGACTTCTTTACGAGAAATTCGAGAGCTCAAAGGGGAAGAGATGGGATAAGCAAGCATTGAAATTGAGGAAATCTGTTGGAATGCGCAATCGCTTTCTTGTTCTCTCATATTTGGGAGTTCTTTGGCAAAGATATAAACATTCTAGAGTTTCTCCGGAAAGTGGCACTTGAAAAAAGGTTGAGCAAAACACAACAAAGAGTGATTTGAAAAGTGGCAGACTATCTTTGGTTAATTCAAATTAAATGCTACTTATATTCTACATTTGCGCACATCTTATCTAATTTTTCCCAGAATTAGAATCCGCAAAACCTATTCAGTAAACCCAGATCAAGCTCAAGCTCAAGCTAAGGCTCAGGCTTAGGCTCAGGCTCAGGCTTAGGCTCAGGCTTAGGCTTAGGCTCAGGCTCGGGCTTAGCGCGAAGGCTAGCGCCTTGCACTCAGCCTATTTAGGTTTTGGCATGGCCCACCATTTCCAGATCTCGACCAGTTCCTAGAGCTAGGGCATAGCCGCTTGGCGATACTCATTCGAGCACAAGAAGCCAGCCCACTAGAAGCATTTTGAGCCGCTTGTCGTCTCTCTCCGGTGGCTGGAAGTACCCCAAAGAATTGATTTTGGGGTTGGGCTAAGACTCAAGTTCAGGCTTAGGCTTAGACTCAGGCTTAAGCTCCGCCGAACAAAACCGGCTCATCCTTCAAATCCATAATCTTTTCCAAGCCGAGCCATCCAAGCTAACACAAAGCTAAGCTACATAAAGCTGAGCTAAGCTACATAGAGTCAAACAGTACCCAAAAAACTTATCTCAACACTTCTGAATGTAAGAGCAGTTATTTTAATCATACTTCTTACCAATCATTGTTACAAATCCGGTTTTCGGTTTGTTTGCAGAAAGTTCGACACCAGGAACTTGTAGTCATTAATTTCTATTTATAAACCTAAAAATAACACGTCTACTTTTACAAATCCCTTTCATTTTTTCAGAAAAGCATCTGCTTTTGAAATCATTTTTCAAAAGCCACCGATCAAAGACACTTTTTCTTTTCATGGTAGCCTTAAAGTGAGTCGCGCAACCATGTCCCACCTAATTACTGTACTCCGCTTAAAGACACACAAATCAGCAGCCATTTAGATCCTAATCTTTGAAGAAATACAAACCAACACCCCATTTTTTGTGATCAAAGGATATTTTGGGGTTTGTGTAATTGAAACCTGAGTCGTTTTGAAAGGGTTAAGGGATTAGTGAATGAAGAAAAAGATCGCCGGTGAACAGGTGGATGAAATGGTAGCTTTTGCTGTGAACGGTAGTTTAGATGAATCTCGAATGGAACACACGAGAAGGATGGGAGAAAATGGATAAAGAGGGCTAGAATAATCAGGATAAATAGATAAACAAGATAGACAGGACAAGGATAAAATGTTAGAATTGCTTTGGATGAGCAATCCAACTTCCAAAGAACTTTTAAATTCTCTAAACCATTGCTTGATTAGCTTGAGTCTGGCATTATGCATTTAGTAATGCCTTTTTAGTAATGTCCACAAAATCAAAATGGCTAAGTTCTAGTGTAGAGTAAGCAGGAGCTAAACTTTTCCAATTTTTCATAAACATTACCGATTACTGTTTAAGATTACTTTAAACTTTACTTTACTTGACTTTACTTTACTTTATGATTACTTTAAACCAAGAGATGCATTCAGAGACAAGGCTATGCCAGAAATGAGGCCAGGATTTTTGACTTTTTAGTTAGCTGTTTTTACAGTGTCTTTGTTTTGTTTTGTTTTGTTTTGTCTTTTATCTTTGTTTTGTTTTTTCAAGTTTTAATCTTCAAAATTTCTTCAAAAGCTTTATTCAGGCACTAGCTTGTAAACAAGAATATCAAAATTTATACATTAAAGCTTCACATGAAGCTCTAGACATTAAAGCTCCACATGAACCTCTAAACATTAAAGCTTCACATGAAGCTCTAGGTATTAAAGCTCCATGCATCTCCATACAAAGCTTCAAATGAGAATAAAACTGTGAAACCCGTGTAAAAAGTGCATGCAAACCAAGAGATAATGGGGGAAATACATTCAAAAACAATAACATGAAAAGCAGTCAGGGTTTTTGAAAGACAATGGGCAATGGTGATCAAATTAAGACTTTGGCTAATCGATCCAGAACAAAACAGGCTTTAGATTCATCCTGGATTGCAAAAGTTACTAAAAACTTGATGAGCAAGCCTGTAAAATACACTCTAACTATACAGTCCGTCAAACACTGTAAAACCTATTGTCTTATTACAGTATTTCAAAAGTATTCAGTTGACAAGACCCAAAGCGCTGAACTCAACTTAAAAGAGACTTCTTGGCTCTTGGCTTTTAGCTTTTGGCTTTTGGCTTTTGGCTTTTGGCTTTTGGCTTTTGGCTTTTGGCTTTTGGCTCTTGGCTTCCAAATACTTTAGTCATACTGATATTTGATTCATTTTAAAGTCAGACTTATTGATGTTGTTGACAAAGATACAAACGCAAAAGCTCTTCAGATGGGGACTGAATGGGGAAAGGGAATTGTGGAAGAAGAGGGGCACCGATTTGGTATGGAGAAGGGGCGAACGGGTTCCGAGTGGCCGCCATCGCTGGACCGAGGGCGCTGAGTGGAAGACCCATCAGCTGGGGGAACATCTGAAAATATTGTTGTAAACTTTAAATCTCGATGAGAACCATTCTTGCAATTAGCTACCCCGTTTACCTAAGTTGCTTTGGATAGATAGAAAATAGATACACTACTGGACAATGAAATATCAAGGTCGTCACTTTCGCGCGCCTGTAACTCCCTTGTCTTTACCGTATTTCTAAATATTAATATTACCATTGTGTAGCCCTTGAAAAGAGCTTTCAGAAAATGTATAACACTAATAGTTTAAACTCAAAGACAAGGGAGTTACAGAATGAGTGAAAATAGTCAATTACAATAATTTGAGGCGATAAAGCTTAAGATTTCTTTATGAATTACTTTTTTTTATTGTTTGAAAGCATGATTGCTTGAAATAGTTTGTTTCAGAGCTGGGATCTTTGATCAAAAAGCTGATTATTGTATAACTTTTCACTGGTGACAGATCATAAAAGTACTTTTTTGAATCTGGTGATTGGTTAAGGAAATCTAGAAAGATTTAGCCATTGTTATTATTGACCAATTATTATTGGCCCAATACTAATTGTAAGAGTCAAATTTGAATCACATTTCTCTTTTCAAAGCCAAGATTTTGTTTGAATCAAGAGCTCGACCGTAATAAGACAAAATTTGCAAGTATTTCTTTGTTTAACCTGCGATATCTTAAGCCTTTTCTAACCAAAAATGATTTTCAATTATAATTTGTGATTTCAATTTGTCATTTCAATTTCTGATTTCAATTTGTGATTTCAATTTGTGATTTCAATTTGTCCTAGACTCACCGGTTGCGATGGGAATGGTTGAATCCTTTGCCTTTGCGCGGGTCGTCTCCTCAACTTTCCTCCAGTCCCAGCCACCACCAGCTCGTCCTCCATATTTGCATCCAAAGTCCAATAGTTTCCTGAATTCAAAGTTTATAAATCAATTTATCAAATCAATTTGCCAAACCAATTTATCAAATCAATTTACCAAATTTACCCTTTCATCTTGCCTTTCATACTAAATCTCATTAATTGCTTGCTTTTTTAAAGTTCTAGAAAGGATTGGATTGTTCTATTGGATTCAAACATTCTGACGTTCGATTGAAAGGAAATTCATTTTAGCAAACAATTAAACGAAAAAAATTACCAATTTGCCTACATTAGATTCAGCTGAAGTTTGGGAAAGAAAAAACGGGAAATTTTGTTGTATTTGCTGGCAAAACAGGTGGAAATTAGTTTCATTTTTCAGTAAACAGGAATTGGATTTGAGTTGTCGCAAAAAAAAGAAGATTGGGAAGAGAAAGAAAATACGTAATTAGTGATGAATCAGAGATAGTTTGAGGCAAATTTACAAAGGATTTTTAACAAAATAAAAGTGCAATGCGAGGTGAAAGAGATTGGGAAAAAGAAGTTCAGGTAGGAGGACTTTGAAGTGATCATTTACCTGATTTTTACATGATTTTCTTGGTCTTATTGATTTGCTTTGTTCTATTCTAGATTTGTTAGAGTAATTCTAGACAGACAAACTCTTGTATTACTTGAAAAAGCTGTCAATAGCCAGGCAATCGACTGAAAATCAAATGTGGTGGATAAATTCAAACTCAAGCTATGCTAGACCGTAAGACAGTGGCTGTCGGGTGTCCGAAAATTATTGCAACAACTACGATTGCTTATTATTTCTCTCTCGTTGCGCCGACTGAAACAGTTTTTGTATCAATCGACAGAGGAAGACATGATGACTCTAATGATACCAAAACTATTTCAATCGGGCACCTGAGCGTCAAGATATTTGAAGTTAAAGTTAGCTTGTCAATAAAGCAAAAAGTAGGCTCTGAAACCTGATCTGAAACCCGATAAAAACTCTGATCACCTCTGAAACCGGCCCAATTTAAACTCCATGGATTATTATATTGGTCTTTGGTCGATTTGGTCGATCTTCAGGGCAAAAATTCCTTTAAAAGACAATCCTAAATGCAAAAACTTGCTTTAAAAGACAATCCTAAAGACAAAGAATTGCCATTGGTTAGTTGAAAAGCTATGTGATTAAGTTTTGAACGAGATTTTACTTGATACTATATAAAAAAGCAGCCGATGACTTTCTGAAACGATGTGTAAAGTCAAGTTGTGGTAACTTTTGAATATAAACTTAAAGTTGCTTAAAAACTAATAACAGATTTAGATTCTCCATCCCAGAATGCCTCCAGTTACAAATTTTTAGGTCTACAGCTAACATAGATAAGCTGATTGACTCAAAAATGACTTTATCAAGTCACAAATGCCTTCTTGTGTCCTTGTTGGTAAAAAAAATATCGTTTTAAAGATTTCCGTAACCTCTCTAGATCTCTAAACTCCGTAGATTTTATCAAATTTATCTGTTTGTGATAAAGATGTCTCAACGATGCCTAAAATAGTTAGTTAGGCTGTTTATGAAAGGAATAATATCAAAAATACTCAAATGGATAAGAAAACAGGAAGACTACGATACGTTTTCAAATTCTTTACAACCTTGAAAGCGCAGAGCTTGAGAAAAGCACTCTCAAGTAGTTTTGTGATCCAAAAGATGTAAATTTAGCTTTCCGGATTTGGGAATTACTATTTATTGCTCTAGCTTTTATCTTCGCAATGTTTATTTGTTGCACTAGTTCAAAACGTATCACTCATCACTTCGACTTTCCCATAAACATTCGGAGAATATATTTACACTCAAAAATCCCAAAAATCCCAAAAACCAGGTGTCAGGGGGAATTGCTATGTGGAAAAGATCCTTGGGCATGGCTCTCAAGTGATTGAACCGATGTTCACCGTTTTTCAGGCTACCCTCAAGGCATTTATGTCACTCTTGAGTGAAATCGAACCTCAATGAGTCTTAATGTCATTCTTGGGAATCATCGATTTAAGGGGATAAACAGAAAACAATAGGTGAGAAACTGTTTGAGATTAGTGATACGTAAACACAGCTAATCAGCCTGAGGGTACACGTTTAAATGAGAGAATGCGAAGGTGTTAAACGGCTTTGAATCATGGAAACATCATCAAACGTTAAACGGTTAGGAATTTGCAATTTAGAGGTGGAATGTAAGGGTTTAAACTAGTCAAAAATCGTTTTAAAAACAGATTTCAATACAGGTTTCAATACACATTTCAATATAGGTTTCAATACTGGACTTGAGATAAGTTAGAAATAGGATATTTTTCAAGTTTGAAACCAGGGATGAGTTCGTTGACTAGAAGTTTCTTAAACTTTGATTCTTTGGGACTTCAGGCATTTTCCTTACTCTGGAAAAGTTTCCTTAAAGTAGTTCTCTTATGTAGAAAGGATACAGTAATTAAAAAGAATACAGTAATCCTAGAAAAAAGACACATGAATACTAGAACTTCTGAAAAACTAGAACTTTAACTTATAAACAACTTCTCAACCTAACTGAACTCTATAGAAAGCTGGATTTTGGAGGCTTGAAGGCTTGAATGCTAAGGCTTGAATGCTAAGGATTGAATGCTAAGGCTTGGATGTAAGGCTTTGATGTAAGGCTTGGATGTAAAGCTTTGATGTAAGGCTTGGATGTAAGGCTTGGATTTGAGGCTTGGATTTGAGGCTTGAATCTTATCGAATTTAGTTTATCTTTAGTTTATGCTCTAGTTTTATCCAAACCTTTGCCTGGATCATCGAAATTTCTTGGCACTTTCACAAAACCGCGATGAAGTGACAAGTTGTGTCGAATTGAGTTCTGCCAGCCTTGTTTATTCTCTCGATAGAAAGGGTATTTACTGGTGATGTACTCGTAGATCCCAGATAGTGTCAACCTGAATTCATTTGAATTAATCGGGGGACCAATTTTTCAAGAATCTTCAAGGATTTTCAAATCTGGATCTTTTAAGAGCCAGAATCTGTTGTTGAAATAGCAATTAACTTGATTTCTTTGAATATTATTTGTTTACCATATCAATTCAATTTTTGACCCAACTCTCTTTTGATGATTTACCTCTTCTCTGGGCTCTCCTTGATCGCCATCATGATGAGAGCATTGTAGCTGAATTGGGGCTTTTTGTGCTCCGAGTCCGAATCTTTTGATGGGGATTCATCGTTCTGAAAAAAAGAAAGAATTTGCTTGCTTTCAATTTGAGATGAGATTCGAAAATCTTATGGTTTTCAGGATTCAATTTCGTACACTATTAACGTTTAACTTTCATCTTTAATAACGAGTAGAGTGAGCTCTTCTTGCTTAATAGTGTCAAATAGGATATTGGTTACGATAGAAATAGACGAAAGATTGACCATTGTTAAATCTATGCAAGATATTTAACTTATTTCTACCGTGATCCGTTTCCTATTTACTATTAACCAAGATCCGTAATACTATTAACCAAGAGGAGCTCACGCTAATTACTAAACCATTTAGTGATTAGAGTGAGCTCCTCTTGGTCAAACTAACTGTCAGAGTTCATAGAAAAATCCAAGATCCTGTCACATAAATGACCAAATTTCTCAATGACCAACCTTTTCCTTTTCAGAAATTGATTCAGGTGAGTTTTGTGGACTGCCAGCAGATCCAGTGGTGGAGGTGGGAGGAGAGGAAGGAGGATCGGAGACTGAAGGATCTGAGCAAATCCTTGACTCACCCAAACCCTCATCTTCTTCAGATCCAATGTCAATCTCGAGTTTTGGCTCGATATCTGAAAATATTCCTTACAAAAAACAGTTTTGTAGGTTTTTTTGAGCAATTGGGAAGAACAAAAGTTCGACAAAATTTCTTCGGAGTTCGACAAAAGTTGACAGGTTTTGCATAGGTTTTACATAGGTTTTGCAGAATAAAGTGGACATAAAAGGGTTTCTTTTTCAACGCTAAATACTAGATAAATAGGTGAATAAGTTTTAGCTTAGTTTTAGCTTAGTTTTAGCTTAGTCATTACTCAGTTTTAACTCAACTTTAGCTTAATAAATCAGCAACAATCGGATTTCCTGAGCAAATCTACCCGAAATTTGCTTAGAAAAGTTTCCTGCTAAAGCAAAAGAAGCTAAAATTTCATGTACAAGAGATAAATAAATACTTGCAAAGATACTTGATACACTAGATACTTTCAAAATGTTTTAATATTTAAATATGTAAATATTTAAGGTTATTTTACTAGGTTACTAATGAAGGAAAGCAACGAACCATCATCCTCCTCGAGCTTCAGACTGGTGGTGGGTCGCTCCGGTTGCACTTCATCGCATCTCAACAAATTCGACAAAAGGCTTTGAATCGAGAATTTGGCCATCAGAGCAAATAAATATCTCAGAAAGCTCAGAAAGCTCAGAAGGATCTCAGAAAGATCTCAGAAAGCTCAGAAGGATCTCAGAAAGCTCAGAAATATCTCAGAAATATCTCAGAAAGCTCAGAAAGATCTCAGAAATATCTCAGAAATATCTCAGAAAAGTTTCCACTCGAAGTTTACCGACAGTTTGTGGTGAATTGTCCCAACAGAGAGTGGGGGAACGGCCTCCGAGATGGGGGCGGAGTCTCGCAACCCACCCAATGCCTAGAACTACCGTATCCCCGCCTATTTCTTCTCCAAGCGATTGAATTAAATAATTTCTTTCTTTTCCCTGTTCTTGGAACAACAAGAACTTGTTTTTTTAGTGAAAATGGTAGAAAATGTTATTCAAAAAGAGAGTTTCAACAAAAATGAAGCCGAACTTCAGATTTTCAACCTATAAACAACATTTTTGGTGTTTTGAAGTTGATTTCAATGAAAATATTGAGTATTTTCAGAGCCAAGATCTTAGAAAAGTGGATTTTGATGAGAGTTTTCATTGAAAGTTGAAAGTTTTCATTGAAAATTGAAAGTTTTTTGATTTACCCAAGATCTTGAGCTTTTTTTGACAACAACTATTGCAAAAAACCATTGCAAATCTGGATATTTTAAGACTCAGGATCTTGGAGAACCTCTAAAACTTTGGATTTTCTAGTTTTGTAAGTTTTAAGGTCTTTTTAAGTACCTTTCAACTTGTAAGTTCAATTGTAAATTCAAATTTTCTGCCAACAGCTACCCAACAGGGTAATCAATTCCTTCTAAATCGACAATTACATTCTATTTACTGCTCGTACATTGCCATAACTGATGTCGAACATTTGGTGTTAGCGGAAATTGGCGAGAGAATTTTTCGTCGAATCACCGAAATATCCCCAACAACGAGTACTCTTTTTGCTCTTTGCTTGGAGTTTTTCTGTCAATTATTGTGAGCAGATGTCCCGATAGAGAAGACCATTTCCGGGTTGATTTTCGAGAAGAAAAAAAGCGATTAGAAAAGAAAAAACTTTTGCAGAAACCTTTTTTGGGAAAGAAATTAGCTAGTCGAGCGGTTTTTGATACTTGAAAACTTGAACTGAAATTTTCCTACTCAAAATTTTCCTAGATTAAACGGCGAGAATAAAAAGAAGAAAGAACAACTACCTAGTCTTTTTGCAAGAGCCTTATTGCTAGTTCTACGTTTCTAATCCATGAATCATTCTAAGAATAAAAGTATTAATATCTAAGTGACTTCTGATGTACCTAGATCACTATTCAAGTGATCTAACTACTTAGATCACTTGAATAGTGTCCAATTATGCTTGGGAATGGTCGAATTGAGCTCTAGAGCTTGTAATGGCCAGAGTTCGGTACCGAATAGCCAGAGTTCGGTCAGATGCTGGTTTGTCCAAGCCCAGGCCTGCTTTTCAGCGAACCAGGCCTGTAGTAAAGTCAGGCTAGGTAGACAATTTTGTGAACCAGGCCAATAATCTCTCATCTTCTCATCTTTGTCCTGAGAGGAAAAACCTTGTCCATCACTGACAAATCTAAGCATATCTACAGGGTGTTCCAAAAAAGTCAGTTCAGCGCGATTTTTCTCAGAATTTCTAGTGGCTTCTGGAGGTTGTTGTGGTGAATATTTGGGCGGGCAAATTTTCGATAGTTTTTCACATTGTCCCGATTTCTTGGTCTCCAATACATGAGATTTCTGAGCCACCATGGTCACCACCACCATGAGTCTTGTGCCATAAAATTCCAACTTTCTACTGGCATCGTGGTGTCAGATCAGAGCTAACATGCAAACTAAGATTTCAACCAAACACTTTATTGATTAGTAGCCGAACTTGGTTGCCTCTTCGAAAATTGCCAGCTCAAAGAGTTCTATGTTATTACTGAATGTTCTAAACGGATAAAGTGTTTGGTTGAAAATCTTAGTTTGCATGATAGCGCTGACACCACGATGCCAGTAGAAAGTTTTAATTTGATGGCAAAAGCCTCATGGTGATGGTCCATATGGTGTTGGTGGCCATGGTGGCTCAGAAATTTCATGTATTGGAAATCAAGAAATCAAGAAAAAGTGAAAAACTATCAAAAATTTGCCCGTTCAAAATATTCACTTTTGCACCACAACAACAGCCACTAGAAATTCTGAGAAAAATCGAGCTGAACTGACTTTTTTTTGGAAAACCCTGTAGAGTAGCATTAAGAAAAATTAGGTCACTTCGTTTTCTTTCAATTCATTTATCGAAAATCCTATCTGTACACCAATAAAACCGACTTTTAGCCTAAGGATTTGATAGAACTTAAGATTCTCTTTCAAATGAATCGAAATGAATCGAGTGGTTCAAAAATCTATCAGTATCAAGTGACCTCTCTAAAATCCCCATTTGTTGAAATCTTTGCTTTTTTCCAGGATTGCAAGAAGTAATCCTAGGATTGAAATCCCCAGGCACTTCAATGATGATTTTGCGATGAGTGCGGATTGCCAACTTCACGTTTATTTACTATCCCTTTGCATTTATATCTTTGGGTATTTATATCTTTATATTCCTGGTTATCTCATTATCTCCATAAATACTGTCGGATTTCTTCCAAATACCATATAAACACTTCGAAAAATTGTGCTGACGTGGCGGGATTTTTCGAGAATTTCCCTCTAAAAGCCACCAGATTGAGTGAGATCTCTTTTCCATAAGTCGGTGATGAACTCAAATATGGAAAATATGATATTTTTAGATCAGAAAAGATATTCACTGATCGTTTTCGATGTAATCCGAAAATTCTTCTGCGTTTCTCTCCTCGAAAAACATGAAAATGTTGAGGGGAAAGCTTGGGAAATGGCGATGGGGATTTGTTTAACGAGATATTCAACTCGCAAAAATATTATTGTGTTGAAAAAGGGGATTAATAATGTAGTTTTGAGTAAACAAAAGATTTTTCTAAAGAAAAGAAAAGGATGAAGTGGTCCACATGTTTGTCGCTTTCAAGAAATAGTCAAATCTAACTGCTGATTTTCTTAGTTTTGACGTTTTGTAGACAGGAATGTGAGAAATTACCATTCAACTTGATTATCAGAGGAAAATTACCGTACTTATAACGTCTACAATTAGCAAACAAGCGTCGGAGTGGTTTATTGTTGAATTTGAGCGTATTGTTGCTGATTTAAATGTTTTATGGCTAATTCAAGTGATTCGTTGACATTCTCCATTGAAATGTCAAGATAATGGGCTGTTTAATCCGTTTGATGCTAATTTAGGCGTTAAATCGAGTAATTTGTTGCTATTTGAAGGTTTTGTTGCTAATTTAAGTGATTTGTTGAGACATTCTCCATTGAAATGTAAAGAGAATCGAGTAATTTGTTGCTAATTTAAATGTTTTGTTGCTAATTTGAAGGTTTTGTTGCTAATTTAAGTGATTTGTTGACGAATCCTTCTCAAAATGACTTTTTAACTAACTAGGGAAAGACCAGAGTTCACAAGAGCGAATCCGAACCAAAGCTATATGACTTACGCAAGTCGAACACGGGCAACACGCTGGCGCTTTTAGTTTTTGCGCAAACACTCTATATTTCTGTAAAAACTCATTTGACCCTCTAGTGCACTGAGCGGGGTATTTGACGATTGCCTTTATCGAAGCAGCGTAGCGGCTCTGTGGGACAGTGCCCCTGGTTCTCACTCTTGCCAGTCGGTTTCAACCCCCACCCTTTGCCTACTCTTTTAGCGCACTAGCATAGGCAAAAACATGGCGTTAGACTTGGGCAAAATGTCTGATCAGTCGCAAAGCTTTTCAAGTTCAATATTTTCAATATTTTCTTCACGGATAGACTAATCACTTGCTCATTCAATTTCAATATTTTCCATAACTCCCAATATTGCCATTTTAAATGACATGTGCTTTCTATTTTTATTTTTCATGTGCTTCAATCATTTCAAGGTTCACGAGTACACGAAAGTGCTTCAAAATAGTGAAATTTTCATAATGTAAACAAAATAATCTGAAAATATTACTCGCATTTGTGAATTGTAAGCAAGAAATGACAAATATTCGGGAATATGGTGGCTTTCAAAACTCAAAGTCCATGTTTTCGTTGATTGGGATGAACTAAGGGGTTTTTTTTTTTAGTTAATTTTTAAGCTTATTGGTCTAAACGAGGCCAGTATTTAGCTGAAAACTGGTTTACTGTAACCGAGAGCACAAGAAAGAAACTGCCAAATGGACTGTAGTTTTGTTTATTTATTCAAATTTTAGACAAAGTAGTCAACTAGATTCAACTAGAGTCAACTAGATTCGATTACGGTATTCTCATAGAAGAATCGAGCTGGTTACTTTGCGGGCAATCTCCTTTCTTTTATGCTCTAGCTACCCTAGCTCTAGCTACCCTAGCTCTAGCTACCCTAGCTCTAGCTACCCTAGCTCTAGCTACCCTAGCTCTAGCTACCCTAGCTCTAGCTACCCTAGCTCTAGCTACCCTAGCTCTAGCTACCCTAGCTCTAGCTACCCTAGCTCTAGCTACCCTAGCTCTAGCTACCCTAGCTCTAGCTACCCTAGCTCTAGCTACCCTAGCTCTAGCTACCCTAGCTCTAGCTACAGTAGACCAGTTTCCCCAGGCTTCCCCAATCCTACTAAGCCATTTTGAAAACCATTGAGCTCATGTTTTCAAGTGTATGAAAACTTGAGCCCATTGAGCAAGGCATGTTTCCAAAACTCTTGTGGTTTGAGTGGTGAAAGCAATGGGGGAAGCGACTTCTGTCCAATCGAGCGATGATTGACAGGTTGAGAACCTTTTGAAGAAAGGAGATCATTTTGAGAAAGAAAGAAGTCAGAAAGAAAGAAGTGCTTTGCCCAATATTACAATAATGGATCACCTATATTCACCTAAACCCGCTCACCGCCACTTCACATTATTGGCGGTGAGTTTGAGGGACGTTTGGCCACCGGTTGAGAATTGAGGGGAAAGGTGGGGTTTGTAAATACCATAAAAACTATTA